TGGAAATATATTGCTCTGCTTTCACTCTCACTTGGTCAAAATCCTGGAACTCTTTCCAAACAGTACTGTGCGTGTTTCTTCACATGAACCGCTATGGTTCAAGAGCTCAAGCCACCTTCAAGGATAATTAATGCTATCCTAATTAACTAGCATCCAGGCATTATTTATCTAGTTGTAAAAATGAAGTTGCAACTCTCCTCATTGACAACTCATTATTGTCAACGATGTTGAAACAATAAATAATTTACACAGATTCATTTTTTGGGAGGGGTAAGCAAAAAATTAGTTTTGACTGTGGCTAACTTTTTATTTTGACTTTCTTTTTCACTTTCAATTGCACCCAACCTTACCAGCCCACAGTTGAAAGCGCTTCCTCACTCAGCTCTCAAACCTCCAACTCCCTGAATTCATCTACCTTCAGACAATGGCCAATCTCTGGTTCCCCTGCTGGTTGATCTTACAGCCAAGCCTCAAAAGAAAAAAAAAAAGCCTTTCTTCCAAACACCCCTTGGCGTTTGCCTCCTCAGTCAGGAATTTCAAATGTATTTACTTTCTTGTTAAGAATTAAAAACAGTAGATAGAGTCAAGATACAGTCATGATCTCATCAAATGGGGAAGAGATTTGAGGGGTTGAATGGCCTTCTGTGGTTTCTAACTTTCATTACAGCATTCATTTCTTATTTTAAACCACTCGGGTTTTTTTTTGAAAATATAAAATGGTTTGAGGGTTATGAAAATACAAGTTGTTGCATCTATTTTAAAATCAAACCAACAATCCAATTTTTAAACCTTGTGGATTGATTAGTAGCAGCACCTACCCTGAACCACTCAAGGCAATACCATCCCAGACTTGACTGTGCACCAAATTTATTTAATCAGACACAGGTAGAAGTTTTTCCCTCGACTCACTTATTTAAGTCTTCTCTTTGATCATTAAGACAGGAAGACTCCACTGCAAAATTCATGGAGAAAGTCTTCTCCACAGGCTCCAAGTCTCCATCTGAACATCTGCTGGCCTCCAAATCTGCTAGTAAGGTACAGAACTAAATCAGCAAGACCATCACGTTTTTTTTTTTAAAAAAAAACCTATCGATTGATGACTATTGGAACATAAATTATTCCATGTGTGTGAACAATATTTGAAGGAGAACTGCAGTGATTGAAGACGACAGCTCACTAAAAACTCCAAACTCAATTAGAGATAGACAACAAACAGTGGCTGTGACAGCGATGACCATATTCCAAGAACAAATGATTAGCAAGAAGGGATGTCTGTACTTCAAGAAACAGAAAGAAACTGAGGATGCTGGAAATCAGAAACAAAAACAGAAATTGCTGTAAAAATTCAGTAAGTCTGTGGCATCATCTGGCAGAATTAATGTTTCAGATCCAGTGAATAATTTTGAAAGGAGGTCACTGGATCCAAAATGTTAACTCTTCTTTCTCTCAACAGGTGCTGCCAGACCTGCTGAGCTTTTCCTGCAGTTTCTGTTTTTATTTCTGTACTCCAGGAGATGAGCAATGAAATGGAAGTGGCTATTCCGGATGGGTGACTGTGTGAAGCCCAACACAAGCCTGACAACATCATCTCATCTTCCAATTAAGCACTTACAGTCTCCGGACTCAATACTGAGCTCGATTCCAAGACCTAATTCTTTAGTTTTCCCTACCATATGCTAGTCTGAATTTGTCTCAGATTTTTGCTTTCAAACAGAACTATTTATTACTTTTTAATTATTGGCAGTGCTGAAGGACTGTCTTTTCCTGTAGCAGAGAGACAAAACACCTGTCCCAAGTAAGAAAACAAAGTCACATTCAACTCAAAATATTAACAGTTTCTCTCTCCATTTACACTTCTAGACTGACTGGGATTCTCCAGCAATTTCTGGTTTTGAGATAAACCATGGATTGTTAATCAAGAAATTTCTTTGCTTCATTCCAGTTAAAGTGAAAAATAGATAAATCTCTGAAGCAGAAGGTAATATAGAGGTATAGAGAAGTTGAAATTGGGAATCTATTTCACACTAGAATGAGGACAGTTTTCCAAACCTGCAACCTCTGCTAACAAAAGGACATGGTCAGAAGTCACAACACCAGTTTTTAGTCCAACGGGGTTTATTTGAAATCACGAGCTTTTGGAGCACAGCGTCTTTTTGACAGGACAAAGCTTGTGATTTCAAATAAACTTGTTGGACTATAACCTGGTGTCGTGTAACTTTGTCCACCCCAGTACAACACCGGCACCTCCACATCATGAGGAAAGGACATGGGCAGATGTGAGGGAACACCACTTGCAAGTCCCCCTCCAAGTCACACACCATCCTGAATTGGAACTATATCACTATTCCTTCACGGTCACTGGGTCAGAATCTTAGAGCTTTGCCACTTCTTTAGAAGCAATTTTGATGTTTCCTGACCTTTCAATTTATGGATGAATTCTGCTCAAGGTCGCGGTTTTATGTAGGTAAAAGTAGTTTTTGCATAGCACCTTTTACATGGGAAGAAAAAAGGAACTGACAAGATCTGCTGCATTCTCATGGTAATACCCTAAGCAGTCAGAGCTTACTAGCCTGGTCAGAGAACTAGGATGGTCAGTTAAGTATAAGATACAGTGTGGAGCTGGAGGAACACAACAGGCCAGGCAGCATCAGAGGAGCAGGAAAGTTGACGTTTCAGGTCGGGACCCTTCTTCAGAAATGGGGAGGGAAAGGGAGCTCTGAAATAAATAGAGAGGAGGGGTGGGGGATGGGGAAGGTAGGTAGGATGGTGATAGGGGAGTGCAGGTAAGGAGTGGTGAGGATTGGTCAGCGAGGTTGGCGGGGCAGATAGGTGTGAGAGAAGATGGACAGGTTGTGTCAGATCAAAGAGGTGGGGATGACAGGGTGGATTGGTCATGGGGTGAGGGCAGGGAGATTTTGAAACTGGTAAAATTCACATTTCGGCCATTGGCTGTAGGCTTCCGAGGTGGAATAGGAGCTGCTGCTCCTCCAGTTTGCAGGTGGCATCATTGTGGCACTGGAGGAGGCTGCCTGGTCTGCTGTGTTTCTCCAGCTCCACACTGTGTTGTTATCTTGGACTCCAGCATCTGCAGTTCTTACTATCCCATTGTCAGTCAAGTGTTCTTTTTATATCTCCATGCCAAAGATGGCCCAAACACATCCACATCCTCTTCTCAGTCTGTATAAATTGGTGTCCCTTTTTTTCAAGTCTGTTTCTTGTATCCTTTATTATTTGCTGTGATAATAGCAATTCCATTGTGTTAAGACACAGACAGACAACTGAACCAAATCAGGAAATTAAACAGCAAGGTAATCTAATTAATGTCTATGCTTTAAACCTGAAACATATGTTTTCAGCCCCCATTCACACAAAAGACACACAAACAAAGTAAAAGAAAATAACAAAAAACTGGCCATATTACTTAAATCGTTTTCACAATGGGTTATTTCACAGGTGTAAATGTGGACTCATTGATGCTTCCAGAGAAGTGAACAATCAGGGTCACCTTTTCAGTTCAGTCTGGTAAAAGCAGTAATACTCTAACTTGGCTTTCTACTCTTTGGGCAGAAAGGGAGATTAGGCAGGAAGCTTTCAAATCTTCATGCTGCGTCATCGCAGCCAAACTCTTCTCCACAGAAAAAAAGTTTGAAAAAAACATTTCTGGTCCCTCCCTGATAGACTGTCTTTTCCCAAGGCCTCAATTACCATTCAGTATCAGCCATCTGTTTGAATATAGGGTCTCTTCCAGAGACTTACTGGAACCAATTTCCAGGTACCAACCATGTTAATAGCCAACTTCTGTTACCAGTTTAAACACAACGTTCCTCCCGGAGTGCTACGTCTGTGGGAAGCCTTTTAATCAAGAATTAGCCTGCAAGTACCCTCCAGGCCTGGCCTCACTAGCAAACAAAAGCTTGTTTAGTCTGATTCTGTTTCCCCTTTTACCATAAGCTGTTTCCCAAAGTCCAAAAGCCACCTTCGTCCACAATTTCCTGATTTCAAATTACCATTGGCAATCTTTAGTTTCCACCAGGATGTGTCAGGCATCAGGTTCTGCCTCCCAATATTGAATTGCTGGCAAATGATCTTTACTATTTTTAATTCTGATAATTCTCACTGGCTGCATATCTTCCATGCTTACTTATAAAAATAGAACTCCCTTTTTTAGGCAAATTATCTTCCTCAGTTGTAGGGTTAGGAGAATGGAATATTTACTTGTATTGTTTTCCTCATTCTACAATCAAAGTGGGCAAAGTGTGCAATTGTGGAACCCGGGATTCGAATTGCCCAGGTTTCCTTGAGGCTTCTGCACTGCCTTTGTGGTGGCATGGTTGGTCTGGTCCAGCTTGGGAGTTCTTTTGGCAACAGCCTGGAAGTCCTTTCTGCAGTGGCTTGAAATCCCTTCAGCAGCTGTTTTTGTCAGCATCAATCTAGATTTCCTTGTGGTGGCTTCAGTCAGTCTGTGACTCCATATGGCTTTTCCTTAGGCATTGTGGTGGGTTCAGCCCAGGATTCCAATGGTGGGGTCAGGTCCTTGAGCCCAGAGCCATGAAATGGACTAAGTGGATGTTGTCTTAAAGAAATTTTTTTTTAAAAAAAAAGAATTTCTTTCATTATATTGTCATGGAAGGACTGTTATGCTGGACTTTTTATTTCTTTATTTTTCCCTAAGAATTTGTACTCGAGAATCTGTACCTAGGTACCTTTCTGCCTGAGATGGCGCCATAAGTGGCTACTTGTTAACTTTTCACTGTGCTCATGTGAGTACATGCCAATAAACCTAATTCATTCATTCATTGTAATTGGAGCCAACAATCTGATAAGAATTCTCCTCATCACGAGTGCAATCTTCTAACAGGAATACCGTCTCATTAATTTGCAGATTTGAAGAAGGGACCAGATCCAACTTTTGAACTAGTCTGATCATCTGCAGATGCTGCCTTACCTGCTGACTGTTTGTAGTATTTCAATATACATTTCAGATTTCCAGCATCTACTTTTTTTTTTTCCTTTTTTGTTAATGTTTTGCAAGGTTAGCTTGAGTGATCCTGTCTTAAATATGGGGTATGAGAAGTTGGAGAATTGAAGGGTTTATTTTGGCTGTCAGTGGATATCTGGCTAATTTTAGATCCTCCAAACCCCAGGCGGCTGTCCCAATTACAGCCCTTAAACTGTATGTGACCAACAAGCTCTGCTACAGTACATGGTTTTCAGTGTTGTAGCCTCAATAAATAAACAGTAAATGAAAACAACAACATGGTTTTAGTGTCAACAATTTGAGATGCCTGCAAATTAATAGGAACATCAATATATCTTTTGTATGTGGCTCACAAGGCTCAATATAGCAAAGGCAGCAGGCACATGGAAACAACACCACATGCAAGTGCTCCTTCAATTTTACCCTTTTACAGGGTTAATGGCAGGATTCCCGGCAGTGTGGAGGAACAGAGGGATCTTGGGGTCCACATGCATAGATCCCTCAAAGTTGCTACCCACGTTGATAGGATTGTAAAGAAGACGTATGGTGTATTGGCTTTCATTGGCAGGGGAATTGAGTTTAAGAGCCATGAGGTTATGCTGCAGCTCTATAAAACTCTGGTTAGACCACACTTGGAATATCGTGTTCAGTTCTGGTCACCGCATTGTAGGAAAGATGTGGAAGCTTTGGAGAGGGTGCAAAGGAGATTTACCAGGATTCTGCCTGGACTGGAGGGCAGGTCTTATGAGGAAAGGTTGAGGGAGCTAGGGCTTTTCTCTTTGGAGCGAAGAAGGATGAGAGGTGACTTGATAGAGGTTTACAAAGATGATGAGAGGCATAGATAGAGTGGATAGTCAGAGACTTTTTCCCAGGGCGGAAATGCCTATTACAAGGGGGCTTAATTTTAAAGGTGATTGGAGAAAGGTATAGGGGAGATGTCAGAGGTAGGTTCTTTACACAGAGTGGTGAGCGTGTGGAATGTGCTGCCGGTGGTGGTAGTGGAGTCAGACACTTAAGAGACTTCTAAGCGACTCTTGGATAGGCACATGGAGGATTGTAAAATGTAGGGTATGCAGGGTAGATTGATCTTAGTAGGATAATAGGTTGGCACAACATTGTGGGCCTGTACTGTGCTGTACTGTTCTATGTTCTATGGAACTCCCTTCCCAACAGCACCATGGCTACCGCTGCACCCCCACAGACTGCAGCAGTTTAAGAAGTTCACTAACACTTTCTCAAGAGCAGAAAGGGTAACCTCTGTAAGATAAACAAAAAAACTTTTCTCAGCATCTCCCTTTCCTATAAAAATTTATGTTTTTGTTGGAAACCTGTATTTGCTAGACTTTCATTGGCACATCGGCTGAAGATGTATCATGACAGAACGATAACAAAATCTCTCCTTCCAGTTTCAATTTCCAATCTCCTGAACTCACCACGAGACTCCAGAGGGGAGTTTGGAAAGACAGAGTGAGCTCGGTTGCCCTTGGTGTTTCCTCTGGTTACAATCCCCTGATGCTCATCTTGAAACTGCACCCAAATATTTAATTTTGTTGCCTTAGGCACATATTTGAATCCTGGAAATAATAAAAGAAGAAGATGCCACATATTATTGAAAAAAATAAGATATGTAGTCAATTATATAAGGGTTATGATGTAAAATAACTCACTTTATTGTTCCGTTGACACAGTCTTTCAAACCTTTTCCCTCTTTGTCCCCAAGGTCACACTCATTTACGACATTCTATTCCTTAGTACCACCAATGTGTTGACATTGTCCCATTTAGAAACCTCTCAATTTTCACAAAAAAGGGTGGGAGAAGATTCACAATGTTGGTTCCAGTGATGAAGAACTTCAGTTATAAATATTTAGATTTGAGATATTGGGACTGCTTTTCCTCAGAAGAGAGGGTTGAGAGGAGAATTGGCAGAGGTATTCAAAAATCAAGAGGGGTCTGTGTAGAACAGTTACGGGAGGAACTGTACCAGTTGGTGAAAGGCTTTGAAAATCAGAGGATGTGGATTTAAGGTGATCGGCAAAAGAAACAGTGGCAACACAAGAGAAAGCTACTTCACTCAGCAAGTGGTTAGTATCTGAAATGCACTGCCTGGATGTGCGTGGGGGAGGCAGGTACAAATCAAGGCATTCGAGAGGGAATTGGATTGATATAGGAAAAGGAAGAATATAAAGGGTTACAGGGAGAGGGCAAAGGAGTCCTACAGAAAGGTCAGCACAGACAACAGACCGAATAGCTTCCTACTGCACTGCAACTAGTCTGTGATTGCAGCTCATTCCGGTTACATCACTGCCAACATCAAAATAGGGACAATCCTGAGTCAACTCTCCTCCACAAGTCGAGGGCCATTGAGGTGAACTAAAACGTTAATTCACCAACCATTAACTACCTAAACTTTAGAGATCTAACATAGCAGTTTGAGATGCAGGGACAAGGATTATCCACTAAAACAATAGCAGATTATGTCATGCTTTAAAATGAAGTTAGAGTTCTCCCCTGTCTCCATAACAAAATCAACATTGATCTCGTACCTCTGTTCAGCTCAGTGTTCTGCCAGTGTTTATCTGGTAATCGTGTGGCTCTGGGTGTGGTTGTAAATGAATTAGAGTCATCACCACCATCTTCTGAAAGAACTGGACCAAATGTCACACCTTGTGAAATCTGGTACAGGAGGAAGGAGAAAAGAAGTTAGAACGATATCAAACTCTAAAGAAACAGATTTTCTTGTTCAGCAAATCCTTGCTGGAAATCACATTGGGAGTGAATACTCAGGAAGAACATGTACAGTCAAATCTGATTCCTCCCACAATCGAATTGCCAGCTTGCTTGGTGATGTACCGGAGGAGTGCCATGTGTACAGAACCATACTTCAGAAAGTAGCACCTCTCAAATGGCGTTTGCCAGAGACAAAGCTAGAGATAGGCCAAGACATTTGATTCTCTCAACCCTGATTATTTCAGCAGAAAGAATTAACATTACAATACAAATGCAAAAAAAGTGACATATGTTGCTCATGAAAGAAAGGTGAGAAAAGACCATTGCAACGAAATTGAAACTGAAACTGAAAACAAAATATTCAGAATCTGTGGGGAGAGAAACAGTTAACATTTCAGATTAACTCCAAAGTATTCAATGCTGCCATATGGCAGCCTATTATTGCTATGGCAGTTGCAAAAGTGTCCAACAAATAGTCCAAACTTCACATGAGTTGCTGTGGAAGCAAAGAATTAATAAATTCAAATGAAGGTCCTGAGGACCATAGCAGTGTACAAAAAAAAGTGTTAAAATGACAAGACAGGGCAAATCAGGAAGTAGCATTTTTAAGGGGCAACATGCCCAAGTTTTAAAGGATCACAATTTTTAAAAAATTCATTTACAGGCTGAGAGTGTCACTGGCTAGACCAGCATTTATTGTCCATCCCTAACTGCCCTCAAGGTGGTGGTGAGATGCTTTCTTGAACCGCAGCAGTCCATTTGGTATAGGAAGAGAGTTGCAGAATTTTGACCCAGCAAAGAAAAAAAAAAAAATGTTGTCTGCCTATGAGTTTCATAGATTTTAGGTCCTAGGAAAGTGGCAAGTAAAATTTAATTTCTAAATCTTTAATGCTGCTGCTCTCTCTTATTGGCTGTGGCAACCATAATAACTTTGTACTGCCCTGCTCACCCAACTCAGCTCAGCTCAGCTCAGCTCACCTTCTACTGAAATCCTGACCCTTGGTGTGGACTTGAATATTCAATTATTCCCCTGATCAGCTTTCCACCATGTGCCTGCTCCCCATTCCACCCACAAATCACAGAGTAAACTTAAGCTCATTCAAAATTCTGTTGGTGATTTACTAACCTGCATTTCACAGACCTACATTAGCTGCTGGTCCATCAATGCCTCAAATTTTAATCCTATTACGTTGGATTTCAATTTCCTTCCATCCTTCACTGCTCTGAACATTTCATACTCTTCAGCTCTCCAAGATCTCCACACTCTTCTATTCCTGGCTTCTTGCACCTCCTCAACTACAATCACTTGATCACTAGCTACCCCAGTTCCAAGCTCTGGAATTCCCTTTCTAACATTCTCCAATTACTTTTTATCAGAACCTCTCACTTTGGCCAAGTTTTTGATCACAATGTCTTGTGGTTTGGCATCAAATTTTGGTTATTTCACTCTTGTGAAGCACCTCATGCACTTTATTATGTTAACAAAATTCTTTGGAAATGCAAGTTGTTGGACTTTGAAGAAATTGGGTGGAAGAGGAGAAGTCTTTTAGAAGATGGCAAATATTCAGACTGCTGGAATTCTTCAGTGGATCTTTGTTTAGCTGTCCAAATGGATGATGACTTGGCACAGAGGGAAAAAGAGCAAATTCCTCTCTTACCTTTTTGGGAGTTTTGTGCGTCATTTTCCTCACAGAGCACAGACTCCGTGAAGAGGCATCACATTCTCTTCCCAGCGACATTGCAAGAGATCCTTCTTGACCCTCGGAGCAGTGTAGAGTCCGAGGGGTCAAACATTCCTCTGACGTGGCTTTGCCCGACCGTAGATTCATCCTACACTTGGTGGCTTTCCGAGTGTGAAGGCAATGACCAAGGAACACAGCAAAGTCCAGCAAACACTTGTCTCACAGTCTCAAAAACGTCAGGGGATCCCTGCTCAGCATCATAATTTAGAAACTATAACTTTCTGAAACACAAGAGTTTTCTATTTCAGTCAAGGCAATTCAAGCTATTGGAATCTTCATCCATTTTACCAGTCATACTCATGAATTTTGTTTTATTAAGCTCTGAAGATAATTGCACATAAGAAAACCAAAAGAACTACAGATGCTGGAAATCAAAACAAAAACAAAAACAGAAGCACAGACTGCTGGACAATCTCAGCAGGTCTCGTAGCATCTGTGGAGAGAAATCAGAGTTAATGTTTCAGGTTGAGCAACCCTTCTTGAGAACAATTATACATATCTCTCTTCCTAGCAGTTTAACAGAGAGAGGGAGGACTAGGCCACTCAATCCTCCTTGCCTATTCACTTTGATTGTGTAGGTATACCTGAAATCCACATTTTTGCCTTTAACCCATATCCCTCACAATTATTTAATAACATTCCTAACCTTCACCTTGTTATTAAAAGGAAAGGAATTCTGAAAGTCCACTTCCTCTTCTAGGGCAAGTGTGTTTCTTAGTTTGTGCCCCTAAATAGTCTCCCTGTAATTTAAGGAGGTGCCCCTCGTTCAAGGTAAACACGTCAGTGAAAATCTATATCTAACTGATCAAATTCTTAATCATTTTAAAGACCTTGATTGGTTAACCCTTCCAACTTCTAAACTCAAGCCAGTTTTTAAAGAGAGCCTTAGTACAAAAGGAGACCATTCAACCCATCATACCTGTACCAATTCTTTGGAAGGATTACCCAATTAGTTCCACTCCCCTGCTTTCTCCCCACAGCCCTGCCAGTGCTACCTTTTGAAGTTTAAGTAATCTGTCCACATAACTAGTGAACCTGTACTCACTACCTTCATCTCGATAAATAACAAGGGGAAAAACCCAAGTGAAAAATGAAATGGGGCTACAGTTCATAAACACTTGGAGCTTTCTGACAACAAATTACCTGACATCCCCCAATGACAGGATAGTGAAGTTACAGCACTAGCTTTGATCTCCATGTTGTCTGGATTCACATCCAGCTCAGACCAGCAAGAATAAAATTATCTATTTCCTACCAGGTTAGACACCACACACACTTAATGTTTTTCCTCCCACCTGGGCACATTAGATGCTCTAAGTCTAGATGAAGGTTAAAGCCTTAAAGACCTGTTGCTGTTTTGACAATGCAGTCTCCACTTGGCTTGCTGCTGATGTTAATGATCTAATCCTTTACTAGTTAGTGCATTCAATATTGAAAAGGTTAACCAAACGACCTGTAGTGATCATTATCAGGTGGGAATTGTTTGCACCAACCACCCAGCTCGCTCAGTAAAAATCTAGCCTTTGAAGAAGGGAGATTCCCTAGGGAGTACACTTTATGTGTGAAATAAAGTGGTGAACTTTGACAGGTCTTTTCATCATGAGGGGGATCACATCTGGGCTTGGTTCCATCAGAAAATGCTAGATGGTACACAGCAGCAGCTGTCATACCTGAATTTCCCCTTCCTTAATCCTCCCTAAAGGAGTCAAACACACCCGTCATCTTATATGAGACCCTGGCCCGTGACTGACCAAACTGGAGAAAGCTCATTCAGGAAGAACTGAGCACATCAAGAGACCTCATTTGGAACATGCAGAAGCAGTGTTGAGGGATTAGAGGACAAACAACAATTCATCTGCCGAACTCTTCAAACACCACCTGCTCTGCATGTGGCAGAGTTTGCTGATCATGCAATTGACTTAATGACCATCTTAGAATCCATCAAACTGGAATGGAAGCAAATCATTCTTGACCTCAAGGGATTGCCTATGGGAGAAGAAATTGCATGTATCTGGACATTGGGCTAAGAACTAACTATAACATTTGCAATAATAATTAACCATGAAATAGAGTAGAGTGCTCACTATCTTCCCATATTATGGAGGGAAATGGGGATAATATGAAAAGATGTTATTTTGGTAAAAGTCAATTATTGAGTATTCAGAGGGAGAAATCAGCAATGAACAATTGAATATCCATTCAAACTCCACCAAACAACTTTATATTTTATGGATGAAGTAATTTGATTAATTATCATAATAAGTAAACTTGCAAAATGAATATAGGAATTTTCATGGGTATCACTGGCTTCAAGTGCCTGTATTTTGTTTACACCCTGCTTTGATACTAATCAGTAAATCAGTGAGTTAAACATTACGGTACATTCCTTTGTGGTTTGGTTTCAATGTTGCTTAAGGCAATATGGAGCCTAATGAAGTTAATTACTGAAGTGTTCAGAGAAATGGCATTATCCGATACAGAAAAGCTTTGCTTCACAGGAATATTCTACTTTAAATTGAGGATGACATTAAATTAAACTTCCTCTGACAACTCGATTGCTAAATTGTGTAAAAAAGCTTAATTCTTGGACTCTGTTGAGTTAGCTGATCTAAGCTAAGGATCCCATATTTATTTCCAATTCCTACCAGCTTGAAAGTTCATAGCTGACAAGAAATATTTTTGACTTTGTGCAATAGTGATTGAGTTGTGTGAGTAAAGGGAATTCTAATCTCTTTCTAAATGTCCAATTTTATTTGGATTTCACATTTAATATTTTACTGTAATCTATGCCTTAAATTCTACAATTCATCCAGTTTAAGTAGGAATATACTAACTCAATTTGAAAGCAGATGAAGTTAATTAGTTAAGGAAACTAGCTTAAACTGTTTATACTGTGCCTGTGGCTGAGCTAACTCAGAACATATAATTAGAGAAATCTCTGAGAGATATTGCACTGAGTGTGACTTTCAATACAGTTCTGTGAGTTGGGTGAGCAAAGGAGTTAGATGAAGAAAAGACCTTCTTTGCTTTACTTTTACTAGTTTTATTCAACCTTTAGAATTTGGGTCCTACTCTACTATAAGAAGTTAGCTATTTGGTGAGTGTCTTGTAAGCGGTTAAGATCTATTCTATTAAGGTTTAAAATACCAAAGGAACTGTTCATTGGTTTAAATATATATTTTCTAAAAAAGAACAAAATAATTAATTAAATAAAATTATAAAGAGCTCAATTAAAACGTTAAGGATCACAGGTCAGATGGTGTGTCACAGCTGCAACATGTAGAAACTCTCAGATCCCAGTGTCATCTGGGTCAGCTATAAGTGTTTGTGGCTAGAGGAGTATCTGCTTAGAGTCATCAAGCTGAAGCCTCAGCTGCTGACACTACAACATATCAGGAAGGGGAAAGTCACCTGGATATTTTGTACCGGGGGCAGTCACACTCCCTAGGACAGGTTCTTCTGATTTGATCGGTGGTCAGGGACAAGGGAGTAAGGCTGCAGTTGAGGTAGGTAAGGGGACTCAGGTGATGAGTGCTGGAGCCTCAGCCTTTACAATTGTTCAACAGGTTTGAGGTTCTATCAGCTTTTTTTGGATGAGAGTGAGGGCTACAAGGTGGATGAGCTAACTGACCATGCCACCAAGGTACAGGAAGTCATTCAAATTAGGGAAGTAAAAAGTAATGTATTTGTTGAAGAGAATAGTATAGTAAAGGAGATTGCACCATTCTCATCAGCAAAGAACGTCAGTCTAGTCAGCTGTGCAACCTGCCTGGTGCCAGGATTCTGTACATCTGCTCAGGGCTGGAGAAGAACTTGTATTTGGAGGGGAGGATCCAGTGATCATGGTCCATGTAGGTACCAATGAAAGATTCTGCATTGTCAGGATGTGGAGCCAAGCAAGAAATGGTGGCTCAGTGGTTAGCACTGCCGCCTCACAGCGCCAGGGACCCAGCTTCAATTCCACCCTCGGATGACTGTGTGGAGTTTACACATTCTCCCGATGTCTGCATGGGTTTCCTCTGGCTGCTCCGGTTTCCTCCCACAGTCCAAAGATGTGCAGGCGAGGTGGATTGGCCATGCTAAATTGCCCGTAAGGTTCAGGGATATGTAGATTAGATGGGTTATAGGGAGATGGAATTGGGTGGAATGCTCCAAGGGTCGGTGTGGACTTGTTGGGCCGAAGGGCCTGCTTCCACACTGTAGGGATTCTATGATGTTCTATGAAGAAACAAAGCCTCAACAGTCATAATTTCTAGATGATTATCTAAGCCATGTTTAAATTGGTGTAGGGTTAAAAAAAACTATAGAAATTAAGATGTGGCTCAAAGACTGGCGCAGGAGAAGTGGGCTCCATTTCTTGGACACTCGTACCAATACTGGGGAAAGAGGGGGCTATACTGTTGGAATGGTCCACACCTGAACCACAGAGACTAGTTCCTAGCAAGCTTCATAACTAGGGCTTTATAGAGGGTTTTATACTATAAGAAGTGGCTAGTGACATAGTTGATCCATTTGTTTTAATTTTCCAAAATTCCCTAGAATCAGGGAAGGTTTGAGTAAATTAATAAAAATTTGAAAAGAAACACAACTCATTTATTCAAAGAGACAGGGAGACAGAGAGCAGGAAACTACAGGCCAGTTAACTGAACATTTGTCACAGAGAAAATGTTAGAAACTGTTATTAAAGATGTTATACTATGCATGTACAGCAAGAAATTAAGTTACCATCAATCCTTCTTTGGTGGTTCATGCAGTGGCAAGAAACATTAGAGGGAATCCTTAGGGACCCGGTACAGAAACATCTGCTCCCTCTGAAAGCTAGAGAAGGACTCCTGGTCTCCACACATGGACTGTGTGCGGCATCAATGTAATGAACGTTAACCCCTTGAGAACTACTAACTTATACAACAGTCTATCTACATAACTGAATCCCTCTGATATGAAGGAATACCATCCTCGTGTATTAACTCCCACTTCAACACTCAGTCCATGTGCAAGAAGATTAATTACAAACATTTGGTGTTTGTTCACTGATTGCACACTTGACCATGGATTACTGCAGGCACCCGGTCTTGTGCAATCAAAGTATACAGAAGAACATAAAATTTAACATAAATTTTAAGAGTTTTTTGCCTTACTTGCATTGTAGCATTTTGTTAAGGGACAAATGTACAGGTTCAAATGTAGCATTTAAGATCAAATTCTATTTCAGGAATTTGAGAGGCAAACAGAGGATTCTAACATAGAATCCCTACAGCATGGAAGCAGGCCATTAGGTCCCCACCAACCCTCTGAACAGCTTCCCACCCTATCCCTGCAACGTTCCATTTTCTACAGCCAATCCACCTAAGCTGCACATCTTTGGACCGTGGGAGGAAACCCACGCAGACATGGGGAGAATGTGCAAACTCTAGACATACAGTTGCCCAAGGCTGAAATTGAACCCAGATCCTGGCACTGTGAGGCAGCAGTGCTAATTACTAAGCCACCATGCTGCCCAAACACAAATAACACAATTGATATAACATTTTAATTCAGTGTGTAACGAATGGGAACATAAAACATGGAAATGATCTGAATTTAGGGTAAACACAAGCCAGCACACAATCAGGTAAAGGAAAATCTATTGTTACTGGATGAGGACCTAATCAAAAACTGCGATTGGAATGGTTGTTCTCACTGTGCGGAGGGAAGTTTATTTATAACTTTCCTCTTTTACTCTGCCCACCATGCACATATGAAGGAGAGCAGGCACTAAATCTACTACTGTCTCCAGCAATAAAATCAGCCATTCTGGTGTGGGCGATGCTCAGCCAACGTGTGTTTTGACTGGGAGTGGGAATGTAATTGAAAGTCATACCATTCACATCTTCACCATTTGCAAATGTATCTTTGTAAAACATTCTGTGCAGGCCTAATGTTCACTTCGCGACAATATTCACAAAAAAGACGGAAGTAAACTTCAGGGAAGATGTGAAAAAAAATGAAAAAGGGGTTAAATAAATATTGAAGAAAGTGGAAGGTGTCCCTGATGTACTGTGCAATATTTCCTGGGCTAGAAAGTGTAGTGTGCATGCTCCATCTACCACCTTGCATACTGGAGTGTTTACACAGCTTTGTTTTTACAAATATAATTCACTGGAGAGCCTAGTAATAAAGGTAAGTACAACATATCTTGTATGCATTAAATACATTGTTTTCATCTTTCATCTTCTAGAGTATACAATCCACCAAGTTTTTGGATGGTTGGAACCTATCTAATTGACGGTCAAGGGGTTAGTTAGCTTGGATGCTGGCTTGTGATTTTTTATTGCAAAAATAAACGTTATTCATAAAAATCTCTAATTACATTCACAGGTACTAAAGCATTTCTGTACAAGTTATATAAAAAAAAATTGGAATTTGATATTCCATGCAGTTGCTAAAGCCAAAGGCATCTTTTACTCATGCAGGGAAGTATTTACATACATCAAGGCAACAAGAGGGTCTGATAACTGGCTTGTGAGGCAGAGTGATGCCAACAGCACAGATTCAATTCCCACACTGACTGGGGTTACCACGAACGACTCTCCTTCTCAACCTCTACCCACTGAGGCACGGTGACCCTCAGGTTAAGCCACCACCAATCACCCCTCTCATGAGAGAGCAGCGCTACAGTCCGGTACATCTATTATGACTTTACCTTTAATTGATTCTCACTATATATTTGCTGTTCACAAGGTTTTTCAAGATTGTAACACTCACAGATACTGAGATTTTACTGTACTGAGTAAAAACCAAAAAGAACTTCAGACACTGTAAACCAGAAACAAAAACAGAAATGGCTGAGAAAACACCAGGTCTGGCAGCATCTGTAGAGACAAATCAGAGTTAATGTTTCAGGTCAAGTGATCCTTCCTCAGAGCTGTTCTGAGTTCCAATAAAGGGTCACTCGACCCAAAACATTTACTCTGATTTCTCTCCACAGATGCTGCCAGACCTGTTGAGTTTTCTCAGCAATTTCTGTTTTTGTTTACTGTACTGTGGTTGTATTGTAGGAGCTGTTAGTTCACATGGTAAAAGGTAACTAAGCTAAGGCTAATTAACAGGGGCAATTAGGTTTTTAACATTGCACATATGGGACATCAGAACAACAGACTAACCATAAATAAAAACAAAGTGCTGGAGAAACCCAGCAGGTCTAGCAGCATCTGTGGAGAGAACAATAGAATTAATGTTCTGACTCTGATTTGCCATAGCCATTATGGAGAGTCACAGTGAATTCAAAACATTCACTGTTTCTGTCTCCAGAAATGCTGCCAGACCTGCTGACTTTCTCTGGCATGTTGTTTTTATTTCAGATCTCCAGCATCCATAGTACTTAGCTTTTGTTAAACTGACTACACTAATTCAACAGGAATATTGGCAGATTTTAGATCCTAGGAAGCATCACAGCTGATGTTCAATGTTATTGTCAATCCAACAATTCAGGCAATATTTATCAATCAAATCAACTATGATATTTTCTCCTTCTGAGGTCAGAGTGACTACGTCCAACTGAATGATTCCTGCAGAGATCATGTAACAAAGCAAAGCCTAAAGACTGGACCTGGGCCTCAGGGGTAAGGTGGGGTGTGAAATCTTTAACTATCAGTGAAGCCAATTATCTAACAGGGCACAATTACTGATGGGATTGCAATCCTTCAAACAACCAAAGCTGGCTAAGAAACGCAGCCTTGGCGATGTGGCTCAAATCCTGTCAATAATGACAGCTAAGAACATGATGAATGTTATAAACAGCATAACCTTAAAGTTAGTACAACATCGACATTTTTATTAGGAATGTGTAGAGTTTTTACAGGTTTCAGCATGTTTAATGACCAAATATAGTCTTAATCAGAGCACAAACAAAATTTTTAACATTTAACAAATGAATCTCAACTGATGCCATCTAGTCATTTATACAATGTTTAAGTTATGAGGCATTATATTTAAAAATATTTTTCTACAGTTCAGGAATTTAACAGGAAAACTGTTCAAGGATGTAGCATGCGAGTATGATTTTGCCATCTTCAGACACAAATTCCATTCTTCTCATGCACTAGGAGCATACTGCAGCACCAATCGGTCAAACTCATTTTCCTGTGACAACAGTTCAAAGAACAAATTATTCCATGATTAGAATAATTAACAAATAGAGATAGCTGTGTTTCCTACTTTTGGATCTCTATGACACAGCCTGTAATATGGACTGGAGCACAGACACAAACAGATGGTACCAGATAACTGTACTCCTCAAGGACTCTTGATGAACAAATACCTCAGAACCATACAAATGAGCTGCTGCTGACTGCTACAGATGTCACCATTTCAAATATTTATGCTGCCCCACGGCTGTGTGCCCAGAATTGTGATGCTAAGACTACATTTTGACTACAGAACCACAAAGTAGTCATCCACTGCAGGCAAGTTCCCATAAATCTGCTGCTGAGGAATGCCCGTGGGTTTATGCTGTTGTATCATTCTCCATTTGAATACAGCATCATAACTATACTTTTCATTTCCGTTCATTCAGTGCAAAGAGTCCAATGGGATCATATTTAATATATATATAATTATAGCAAGACTACGGTCAACTGCAATATTTGAAAAATGCTTCCCACTGCCTGATTCAACTGTCACCTCTTCAATAAATAGACTGAATATTGAACCCTCAAGCAACATCACAAAGTAGATTGTCCACTCATTAGTACATTGCTATTTGTGGGATCTTGTCATGAGTTTGGCTGCAGCTTTTCCTGCATTACATCATCTACATTGGGGAGGCAGGGGTACATTGGTAACATCACCAGACCAGTAATCCAAAACCTAAGTTTCACGTTCATGTGTTCAAATCCCAGATTGGCAGACAGTGAAATCTGAATTAAATAAAATTTTCAAGCAAAAAACTAGTCTAAAGACAACCACTGTCAATTACTGTAAAAACCCACTTGGTTCACTAATGTCATTTAGAAAGGGAAAATCAGATAAGGATATATCCTTATCTGGTCTTGACTACATAATCCACCGCCATATTGTAGACCAACAATGCGGGTAATTTTTAACTGCCCTCTGACTCTGATTTGCCATAGCCATTATGGAGAGTCACAGTGAATTCAAAACATTCACTGTTGCTGCCTCCACAAATGCTGCCAGACCTGCTGACTTTCTCTGGCATGTTGGCAATTCGGAATAACACATCCCATGAACAAATAAAAATAATTACAAGTGATGACTTCAGAAAGTACTCCATTGACTTTGAAGCCTTTAGGATATCTAAAGGTTGAGAATGGGACAATTTAAATGCATGTCTTATTCTTTTCAGTTTAGTTATTAAGCAGGCTAATGTGCTTTGTGCTGAGAGATTGGTCAGAAAGTAATACACAGCTAAGCCCCAATAGGCCAACTCATTATGATTGATGGCACCATCAAGAAACACTATAAGCAGTGGCCCAGCTTTCCCCACACACAGAAGAAAGTTGGAGGAAGCCAGTGACATTGACAAAGGTCTGAAGTGCTACCTGATTAATGGCAACAATTCTGAGACTGAACAGTGAACATCAGTTGGTTAATTCAACACTGGAGTGCTTTTGCCTAGAGTCTTCCAGAATAAACAGCACAAGAACAAGTCATTTGACCTTGCAAACCCATACCAGTGTTTATGACAGGACTTCCAGAGTGGGGGTCAGAACCCCAATTGATATAATGCGCTGGAAATCTGGAGTAATGAGCTCTGATGCAGCTATTGCCAACCTTCCCCTACTACTGCTTTCCTTAGTCTTCTCCACGGGGTCTTGTGACACTTTTCAAGCTTCAAACTGAGATAATAGGGGAAAAGGTTTCGGAAGCACTGGATTATAATGTGCTCTAATCTTCAGTTGCTGCTCATATTAAAATATTTATCTTCAAAATATTTACTGGATATTGACTGGGAACCGAAACCCATGTTGGTTTTTGCATTTTCTCTCAAAAAAAAACAAGAACAATCACAACATACTTCCCAAGCCACCGCTCTCATCAGATTGAACCTTGAAAGACCAAGGATGAAATATGACTCTTTCCGGGTGTGTTCTTTATAAAAGGCATGTTTCTACTGAAATGAGCAGGCCTTGTTCGGCTATAAGAACTTCAATTTATTCATTTGAATAGTGGTAATGATACAGGTTTGTGTTACTAGATGCTTCACATACCTTGACCAGATATTCTTTAACAAAGGGGTGGCTCTGGTGTCCATCCTTCAATTGGGATAGGTAGCGGTTACTAACCTGTTCATGAAAAGGAAGAGCTTAAGTCTGAGATGGCATCATCGATAGTGTTTGTGTCTGTTGTTCCGACTGTTCACATAGTTGGTAGCATTTTAAAAAGTGCTTGGAATAATATAGCACATTAAATTATTGTCCTCAAAGTTTATGAACATGAATTTGAATTGTGAAGAAATCTTATCACAACCAGTGCTTCAACAGCCTGACATACCAATATGTGCTCAATACAGTTTAAGCAGCACTTTGATTTCTTAAAGTAATCAGAATAGGTGTTCAAACAGCTGGAGTATTCAAATTCCACACTAGTTTGGGATGAACAGGGAATGTGTAAGAAATGGGCTAATGCTGCAAAAAGGCAATTAGTCTACATGATACAAACATACAAAGACCATCCCTTTCCAACCAAAGAATGTTGATTCAGTCTAGCTTCCCTCACTGCTGGTGTGGTCAGCCAACTTAGCAGGGACTGGAGATTCAACATGGGACACTATTTGTCAGATTAGTTCAATTCAACCCCATGCATTCATTCACCCAATCAAGGGGGATCTCTAGCTCTTGTCCATGAGCACCGTACCAATATATAACAAAAAAATCAGCACCAGCCTTACCTCAGGGGCCTTGCCCAGGTGCTGTGAAAGTACGACAAGATTAATGAGTGTTTCTGGATGACTGCTGTCCTGGAGGAATGAAAGGAGAGCAGGGCGAAAAGAAAGAAAGGTTTACCATTCAAAGTAGATTGCAAAAACATGATTTAAAAAGTTTTACTTCCAATAAGTGTGTTGAACCAAAAAAAAATTAATCAGAAAAATAATTAGCCAAATATGATTGTAACATTTAAACTGTCATTGAAGGACGTCACAGAAAAGAGTGCTCCTGTCAAATGCCAGTACAATGCCATGCACTTTCACAAGATGTTAAATTCAAATCTGTTCCAAGACAGACACTTGAAGTTTCAGCTTATTTCAGATTACGTTCCAGAAGGGTTCGAAATTCCAAAACTTCCTAACAGTACTAAAAGTGACGGCTCTTCTCAAACAGCAATTTGAGATGGGTAATAAATGCTGCCTGAACAAGCAACACCACCATCAAATGAAATAGCACCACATTTTTTAAAAAAATCAAGCGATTTAAAGAAAATCCGTTTTAAAATGCCAGTTTTTAGTTTAACCACAAGGAAGTGTTTGATTTTGAACCACCCAATAACCTTCCCACATGGCTCGTCAACTTTACTCAGTGGGTTGCTGCGTCACAGAGATGCCCATGATTGACTCCTATCAAGCACCCAGGTTCTTCTTCCTGATACAATGATCTGCATGGCAAGAACAGGATTGATTGTGACACCTTATAGTGGAATACCGCAGTCATTTACTGTTGAGGATCACTTTTACAAAAATGATTTTAGAGCAGGAGCAAGAATGGAAACATTAGCAAAGAATCAGAGTAGAGACAGGACTACAGAAAAATTGTGGTCGGAAATGTATAGTGTTCATTTAAATGTTTGATGTTGTTACATTACAAGACCAATGGAAACATTAGTGGCACAGAACAAATCTGCAGCATTTTTTGTGCCAAGATCAAACTGTTCTAGTTTTCATGCCATTAAGTGCTCACCACTGGACTTATCCCCTAACGTAATTGACTATTTTCACCCATACCTCCCTGCCTCCCCAAGTTTTGTCCTAGATACTAAAACCAAGTAGCCATGCTTCAGATACAAGCTTAGACTACAAATGTTGCTGAACTGCGGGGCTGCAATGGAACGGAGTCCAATTTGCAACTACTCAAGCTAATTTAGATCTGGTTCCTCGCACTCAGTAACTCATTATCTCAAATCAAAGCTGCATGAAGGTCAGTGTGCAAACTCTGCACCCAGCAGCTAATGTTATTACAAATCATTTTATTTGGAAGAACTGACTTGTGGTGCAGTGCTGCAATCGCATAATTCAGTTAAGGCATGCATATTTCGTGATCAGGCCAACTTTCTTCTTTCTTGGAACATTATTCAACTGGAGGTGGCACCAACAATCTTTTTATAAAGTATGGGCTCTGAAGCCTCACAGCAAGTCATCACTTAAAATTATGGTCATGTTCTTGAAAATTACAGCTATAAAGTGAAATGGCTTGAAGTTTAACAGAAATTCCAACAGGAATTAATGTTAAAACTGGAGTTCGATTGTTCTGTCCAAAAGGAACCCAAGTACTGAAACTCTGTTCTACGCATGTAGAGTGGTGTAACTTGCAAATAATTTGTAAAAAAAAAAAATCACTGAATATAGAAGAAACACTGTATGGACAGGCTTCTTAGGATCTTTGTCAACAGAAAAGAAGTAACATTTTTATAAGTTGAAATGCCATACATTCCTAAAATATCTTCATTCATGAATTAAACTTTTAAAATAAATGTAAAATACAAGAAATAATACAAATGTAAATACTGCACATTGGTAGTTCAAATATAAAAAAAACTAAAGCAACACAGCCTGTTCCTCACCTGATGTAACAAATGGCACATAGTAACATCATACAAAAGCTGTATTAAGTGTTTGAAGTTGTTGTTCAGCATTCCTTCCCTGTCTCTGAACTCCTAGCTAATTTCTTTCTACAGCAAAGAGATTAATTGCTGTCAAGGAACTGCTCCATAGTATTCAGGTAGTGTCAAGCCTCTTGGAAATATGATGGCAATCCCTGGCTATTTATACAAACATCACAGTCAAACGACTCTCTACTGACATTCATGTGAATTTTTCCTGTGAAGATCAACAGACAGCAGGCAGCCTTGATGATGTTCCACTCCTTGGCTCAACCTCCTACCTGGTGTGGAATCAGTTAACTTAAGACAAGAAACTGGTTGGACCTTAGCTTTGTTGGTGTCCACTGCCAAAGACCTCAGCACAACAACTCTGATCCTGTTCCTATAGCTAAATCCCTCCTCAGTAAGAGTACTCCCCTTCCCAGGTCATTGCCTTAACTGTGGTTGAAACAATCATGTGACATTTGAGGTGGGGACTAAAGTAAATCAGGGTACAGTGAAAATCAGAATTGGGCAAATCCTCCAAAATAAAGGACATTGAAGCCACAATGGTATATTGTATAGATTCACCAAGATGATTATTCCATTGGGAGACAGAAAGAAGGCTGTTCAAGGTTTAACAGACTTTTAATGAATATCATGAATGGGTCTCATCAGACGAATAGCAAAATCTTATTTCTTCTGACTGGGGAGCCTGTGAGATGATGTCATGAATTTAAAATCATCACTGAAAGTGAGAATAGGCATTAGGAGAAACATCTTATGCATTGCATTAATGGAGCATTGAATACTTTGCCAAAAGCAGTGGCAGAAACTACATAATGTTTTCTGGGAGAATTGGCTAAATATTTGAAGCAAAGGTATAGACAATAAATATTATGGCAACAGGACCAACAAAGTTGCACATCTAATGATCTGATTGGCCTCTTTGCCAGCTTTCTCCTCCAGTCCCCACATGATTACATTCTCAGTAGTCCTCATACACCTACCTTGTCTAGGGCTTCCTGTAGAACTCCTTCTGCATCGTCCCACTTGCCCTGTGCCATCTGACAGGCAGCTTGCCCATTCAAAAGCAGCAAGGTTGATGTGTACTTATCTGCCATTTCCTGGAAGATGTAATAGGCATCCTGCAGTTTGTCTCCACCCTGTGGACAGCAAACAATAAAACCGGTTTACTAGAGAGGTTGCAACTATACAGCGCAAGATGAATTTAAAGAATACGTACAAAAGTTCCAATATTTATGATCTACCAGTTTCAATCTGTTATGGTAACTGATTAGTGGTTAAATCAATATCATTCTGTAAGAGCCTGACTTTATATAGCACCTTTACCTCAGGAAAAAGTCTAAAGCACTGCAGAGTTATGAGGAAACAATAAACAAAGATGGCAAGTCACAGAGGACTTGGTCTTTTAGTACAATTTATGGGGCAGAAAGATTTAGGGAGGAATTCTAGATTGGGGTCAAGGCAGCAAGGTACACAAGAGAAACAACTAAAAAGCGTTTTGGCAAGGTCAGAAAATCCAAATGGAAGAAGGAAAACAGAAATAACTGGGATTATAAAGGATTCACAAGATTACAAAAGACATGTTTAAACAGAGGGCCATCCCTTAATCTCACTGCCAATAAGATAGATAGACTTTCTATCTTAAAACATTCTGATCCCTCAAAATGTACCTCCAACACTGTTCAAGCTTTGTTCTACATTTTAGTTCCAGTGATTTTTCATCTGGCAAAAGTGCTGCATAAGCTTTTCACATTTCTTTCTTCCTAACCTTTGAGGGCGGCACTTGGCTCAGTGATTAGCACAGCGGCCAAACAGCGCCATGGACCTGGGTCCAATTCCACCTTGGGTGACTGTCTGTGTGAAGTTGCACACTCTCTCTGTGTCTGTGTGGGTTTCCACCAGGTTCTCTGGTTTCCTCCCGTGGTTCGAAGGTGTGCAGAGGTTAGGTGGGTCAGACATTGTAAATGTGGGGTTAAGGGGATAGGGTTGGTGGGCTGGGACTAGTGGGATGCTCTTTAGAGGGTCAGTGCTGTCTCAAAATAGAATCCCTACTGTGAGAAAGGCGCTATGATTCCATGAACCTTTTGTGGACTACTTTACCTGGTCTGTTAGAGTCTGCAAATTTGTTACCAACACTTACCATGGCCAGATTCACCCAGGCTGTTGATAGCTGTGTCAGGGTGGCATCCTCATCTTGCTCCTGCATCTTCTTCAGCTCCTTTCTGAATTATCGAAGATTAACTCAATAATTGTGCATTGTCACAGGCAACTACAACATTCCAAACGAACTGTTTGAAAATGACAGCAGTATTGTAACATCCTTATTCAGAGCAGCTAATATTACAGACTAATTATGGAATCTGGAACATTCCTAGTTTGTAGGCATAAGCTAGTCTCTGGATATCCTAGTTTATCAACAGGAGGAACCAATTGTGCAATGTTTAATTAATTGATAACCTGATTCTATGACTTTACACACCAGGGTTTAAATTTGGAAAACATCAATAGAATAATTACTTGAAAAGTTCCTTTGCACAAAGCATACCACCTTACCAAGAGTGTTAAAATATCTTTGTGACTAAAGCAAAATTCCACTACAATAATGAAAGTTTAGTGTACAAAATACAATGCCTGCATTTTTTTTTACTTAAAGACCCAAAATTTGCTTCACTTCTCAGTTTCACTCATGGGGTAGAACTGGTGAAGTCTGAAATCATAGTTATTAACATGCAGCAAGCATTACGGTAACTTTAGCTCTGGAAAGAGAAAGTTGACTGAACCTAAAGTTAACATTTTTAACATGGCCCACTATCATTTAAAGTAATGTTTTGCTAATCTAAAAATAGATTTATAACACAGATATTCTCTTTGAGTAATAAATATTTGGAATAATTTACCAGTTGTGTTTCACCAGACAAAGACATTATGGCTCCTTAAGACTGGAAATTGGACTGAGGAGTAAGCTCCAATGAGCTGAATGGCTTTTTCCAGTAAAAGTTTCAGCGGATAATCTACAAACCTCGCCACAGTGAAAAATACACCCAAGTGTTAGATTTGTTCAGTGTCAAAACTGATTTGAAGCATCAGACTCAACCAAACCACAGGTTCAAGGAGTTCGGAGTGAGATAATTGGGTTTTGATTAAGCACCGATTATTATGTGTAAAGAGGGGTAAAGGGTGACATTAATTAATATAATTATTCAAACTATTCAGTAAAAGAAAAGAAACAAAACACTACATTCACTTGTGGAGTTGCTTGACTAATCCATGCATCTGTCGTGCAAGTTTCCTGTTTACGCTAACTATTGATTTCCTGGAGATCAGCCAGACTGAATTACTGAATACAGCCATATGAGGGAGTCAATATCCACACAGTGGAAGCAAAAGCAACAGTCGTCTCAACATTCTTGCATAATGACCATTTACGGAAGGTAATTTGGGTTTCCTCAGTAACATCTCACAGACAGTGCCCAATGAGATCGCCACCATTCACAGTCCAATTTTAATAAATACATACATTAAAATCAAAAGATTTGAAGTGAATTGATTTGAAATCTATGCTGTGCTGTGCTCACAATTTAGGTGGCCCAAAAGACCCCTGGCAGCCAGCAGTTATCTCAGGGCTTGTTCACAGACTCACACTTGAAAGGCCACTCGTACACGAAAATAGTCACAAAAAGGAAAAACAATTCTTCTAAACAGTTTTAAAACTTTGCCCTTCTGAAGTTGCCTCTTCTAAGTAAGCAAACCACTTACTCTGCTCAAAAAAACTGTAAACCAAATGGATAAACAATCAGATAGTAGCAACCTAAAAGGAAAATTTAATTAAGAAATAACATTCCACATTTCAGGGGCAAAACATTTGAGGGTGGTGGGGACAGCAGCATGGTGGGAAAGGTTCACATTTCATTCTGCATCTAGACTCCCTCTCTGTCCAGTAAAAGTGCACATAAGTTTGGCCTCATTAATACAACAGCGCTGAAAAAAATACTTCCTACTAAGCTGCAATTTTGATAAGTGACTTACCGAGCCAGATCCAGCCGGTCGAGCTTCAGAAAGATCTGTATTGACATGGCCATGCTGCAAAATAGAAGGGATGAACAATTTAATTTGCACCAGAGCCAAGTCAAGGCACTCAAATACAATGAATGCAAACCTATTGCTCAGAGATTTCAAAAGTAGCCCTTTCTTTAAAACATGCAGTAATCCAATCCTCTTTCCAAAAAAGGACGCATTTGGGCTGCACACAATGCGAAACATAAGAAAATACACAGGTACCCATAAGAGTTAAATGCTATCTATCTCCACCTTAGAAACATTCAATGATCCCACCTCCATTATCTTCAAAGGCAGCAGGTTCTAAAATCCTCAATCCTCAAAGAAACAATTTCTCACCAATGTGCAAAAAGGGACTGACTTAATTTTGAAACAGTGGCCCTAGTTCTAGACGCACCCACAAGAGGAAACATACTTTGCATGTCCACCTTGTCAAGACTATTCCAGATCTTACAAACATTAAATCATCCCTCACACTTCTAAACTCCAAGTGGAACCAGCCCTGTCTGTCCAACCAATCCTCATAAGATAACCTACTTGTTCCTGGCATCTATCTAGTAAATCTTCACCAAACCGCTTCGAATGCACTTACATCTTTCTTCAAATAAAGAAACTAAAACTGTTCCCAATATTTCAGATATGGTCTCACCAATGCCCTGTACAACTCAACATGGCTCCTTCCAAATCTGCAATTGCTACGACCTAGAAGGACACGAGGGTAAACGCGAGAAGACACCTGCAAACTTCCCTCCAGGCCACACAACATCCAGACTTGGAATTATACAACTGTTCCTTCATTGGGTCAAAATCTTGGAATTTCCTCCCTAACAGCACTGAGCATTCTTAAGCCACATGAAAGCAGTTCACCATGACCTTCTCAAGACACTGGCCTAGCCAGCTGTGCACACAAGCCATCAATGAATTCTAAAAAAATCCAATGTTACTCTGTGGCAAGCAGAACCTGTATATTCCTACTTACCACTCAAGACTCTCTCCTTGGTGCAGTGTACGTAGCGCTGAATCGGTATTTTGCTCATGCAGATAGATGGAGGCTGCCATCAGCAAGAAAGTTGTGTTGTTAACATCAACACTCTTCGCCATCTTCTTCTCCATCTCTGCTATGGTAGCATCTCTGCACAAGAGGTGATCTCATGATTACTACATTAAACTAACAAACAAAACTTTTTTATGAGGGAATCCTGGTTAATTTTAAGAGACCAAAGTATTAATTTCTGCTTGGGCCTACGTCAGTTAATCTTAGCTACTGCAGTCCAAATGGCTTTACCAATACTATCTAGAGGGTAGTAATGCCATTTGTGATCAATTGACTTGAACATCAGGTAATGACGGCTTGGTGTCTGACTATGATGTCGGTATGGATTAGCTTGCCAGTTAGGACCACACTAGGAATAATGGCTACTTAAGCATGTTATAAAAGGTAACATGTAACTGTAACCCTAGCAAAGAACACGAGCACAGATAGCATCAAAACCAAGTATGATCACACCCACAGCAAATGTCCATACACTGCACTTTCAGAAGTGGGATGATCATCATCAAGGCCAGTTGCATTGATAACTGCAGCAGTCCAAAGATAAGATCAGAAAACTCAGAAACCAGAAATAGGGTCTGAAACTAAGGACCCCAAGCTGTTGTCCTAGATTAGATGCAAAGTATATTTTTGTCCCTTACCTTTGATCCTCACTGGACAAGTATTTGGCAAACATTCTTACAGCTTGTAATTCAGGAGCAGCTCCAGACTTGATATCATCCAGCACCACACCATATTTTCTCTGGGAAGAAAGGTAAAACTAATAAAAGTTGGTTTCTGATCAGCTAGGATTTTCATCCAAATTTCAGTGATATTGGTTAAATTAAAAACATTTAAAGTTAATTTGAAAATTTGCAGTGTATTTCACATGGGGATCGAGCCACCATCCAAAACACTGTGCATTGCAAGTTTTTTGGTATCACTATGCATACAACTTCAATGCTAAGCAAAAAGTACAGCTAGCAACTTATAAACATTATACACATTTAACTAGATAACCTGATTAAAAATCACAAAGGAGCACAGTGGGAGAAAAAAAACTGCAATGTGCTACCTAGCAGTTTTATTTAGATTTGGTAGCAAGACTCTGTTGGCCATGTGAGAGAAGTCATCTATTTTGGACTTGATAGATACGAAGAAATTTCAAACTGGTGAGAATGTAGGAACTGTAAACATGGAGAGAAATTTACAAGACCATATATAAAAGCCAGTGGACAGGTTAGAAACAACCTAAAAGGCTAATGGAATACTGGTCTTTATCGTAAGATAGCTGGGGTACAAAGGGATGAACATTACGCTACCACTGTGTAGACTTTTGATTACAGCTCAACCAGAGTAATGCATTTAGTCCTAACATCAGCCAATATTGGCCTTGAAGGTAATGCAACACAGCTTCACTAGAATTATATCAGAGATAAAAGGGTTAAATGATAAAAGGATTAAATTATGAAAAGGTGCACAGACTAGGCTTGCATTCCCTTGAACACATATTAAGGGATAATCTAATTCAATTTTAATTTAGAAAAATGATTGGCTGGAAAGCTGAAGAGAAACTACCTCCTCTCATAGGGGAATCCAGAACAAAACGGCATAATCTGAAAAGTAGAACTGGGTCATTCAGGGGCGATGACAGGACGCACTTCTTCACGCAGAAGATACTGAAAACAGGAAACTCTTTCTCCTCTCATCCATGCCACAACAATGCTGGGGATCAAGTGAAAATTTCATAACCGAGAATGATGCATGTTTATAAGTTAAAGATATTCAGTGTTGTGGCACAAATGTGGGCAAATGGGGTTGGAGTACAGATTTATTGCAATCTAGCTGAATGGAGGAAGAGGCCTGAGGGACATAATGATGTCCCGTTCCCAGCTTGTTATCTCCAGCTCAGAAGAGCTGCATGTATGCCAAAATCTCTCCATCAAGAATTAAGGGTGTCAATTATGACCTGTTGTGTGCTTGCACACAAGGCATTTAATGAATCTTGGTGAATGGGTGAGAACTGAGCTCTGCTCTGTGGCACATGAAATGCTTCACTACTAGGCAGTTAAGGAAAGGATGAACACTAGCACACACCGAAAGAAACTATATCCAGAACAACCATGTCCATCCATGAAGAATGAGCTGCCCATACCTGTGCAATGTAAGCTCTATAAAGGAAAACATCTCGTTCAACTTCTTTCTCTGGACTGGACAGCTGAAAGACAAACCAGCCGATAAGTGCCACAAAAACAAACCACAGTGATAAATACTTCAAAATGTAAAATCACTCAATGCTTTCCAATGCTGATACTCACTAGCAAACTGTCTCCCATGTGCTAGCAGTCCTTCACCTAAACAGCTAATTTCATGGATAATTCCAGATGGGGAGCATTGGCAGATTAGTTGACCTGAAACTCAAATCAAGCTCAATCCGTTTCTCATCCGATTTCCACAAATCCATACATCCAGCAGGGTAGTGATCAGAAATAAGAATCCTAGGAAGACTTCCTCTCTTGTCATGCTAGTCTAATTACATTCTCATAATGCCACTGTTGGTTTTGAACAGCCAACATAGCATACAATTATGCCTCACTGGGTAGTTCACTGTAAATCAAGCACTGCTATTCCAAGATCCATTACAAAAGTTAAAGATTTTAAAGTAGTATGTGAAATTCCCTAATTTATCCGTCTTTTAGACCAGGTTTCTGTACATAATAAAGATTACTATTTATTACAATTAATTAAATACTAGCTACAAGTAAATAATTACGAAATATTGACACATAATGCCTAGTTAAAATCAGTACAGTGGCTCAGTGATTAGCACTGCTGCCTCACAGCATCAGGGACCCGGGTTCAATTCCACCCTCGGGCGACTGTCTGTGTGGAGTTTACACATTCTCCCCATGTCTGCGTGGGTTTCCTCCGGGTACTCCGGTTTCCTCCCACAGTCCAAACATGTGCAGGCTAGGTGGATTGGCCATGCTAAATTGCACATAGTGCTCAGGGATGTGCAGACTAGGTGGGTTATGGGGAATGGGTCTGGGTGGGATGCTCTGAGGGTCGGTGTGGACTTGTTGGGCTGAAGGGCCAGTTTCCACACTGTAGATAAAAAAAAATCCTCTTACACACACATGTAGACAGATGCTAAAATATTGGTGTTGTGGGTGGACGGAAACACTGGGAAGGCAGTTCAATGGTCCCTGTTTACAGTGTTCTGTGAACAAGATGATCTTTTTGACTTCACGGGACTTGCTGTTCATTGATATCTCAACCTCCAACACCCCAACCCCCCAAGTGTTTTTCATTTCCCTACAGGAGGCACAGAGCAAATGGTTCACAAATTATAGGTATGAGACTTAATGGTTAAAAGTAACAGCTACAGCAAATCATGAGGGAAAAGAAACAGGCTTTTAGCACCTGGAAGAGGGCAGCAGAGTGGTGACGCTGATTGGCACTGACGTAGGGAAGATTTGCATCAGTGCAGTCACTGCTTCCAGAAGGTGGTTTGCGGAAGATAGATGAACAGATATGTAGGTAGAATTTGACAAGACGTAAAAGTAACAGGGTTGTTGTCATGGGTGATTTTAACTTACCATATATTGACTGGGATTCACTTAGTGCTTGGGGCACAGACGGGACAGTTTGTAAGGAGCATCCAGGAGGGCTTCTTGAAACAATATGTACATTGTCCAACCAGGAAAGTGGCCATACTGGTCCTAGTATTGGGGAATGAGCCGTGCCAGGTGGACGATGTTTCAATAGGAGCACAGCTCGGGAACGGTGATCACAATTCAGTAAGCTTGAAGGTATTGATGGATAAAGATAAGTGTAGTTGTCAGGTAAAGGTGCTAAATTGGGGTGAGGCTAATTACAACAACATTAGGCAGGAACTGAAGAATGTAGATTGGAGGCAGATTTTTGAGGGCAAATCAACATCTGGTATGTGGCAGGCTTTCAACTGTAAATTGATAGGAACTCAGGGCCGGTACGTTCTGTAAGGATAAAGGATAAGTATGGCAAGTTTAGGGAACCTTGGATAACGAGAGATAGTTATCAAGTCTAGTCAAAAAGAAAAAAGTAGCACTTGTCAAGGCTAGGAGGCTGGGAACACACGAAGCAAGGGTGGAATACAAGGAAAGTCGAAAGAAACTTAAGCAAGGAGTCAGGAGGGCTAAAAGGGGTCATGAAAACTCAATCGCCAACATGATTAGGAAAATCCCAATGCTTTTTATACATATATAAAGAGCAGGAGGGTAGCCAGGAAGAGGGTTGGTCCACTCAAGGACAGGGAAGGGAATTTATGTGAAGAGCCAGAGGAAATGGGCAAGGTATTAAATGAGCACTTTGCGTCAGTATTCACCAGAGAGAAGGATTTGGTGGATGATGAGTCTGGGGAAGGGGGTGTAGACAGTTTGGGTCATTTTGAGATCAAAAGGAAGGAGGTATTGGGGGTCTTGAAAAACATTAAGGTAGACAAGTCCCCAGGGCCTGATGGGATATACCCCAGAATACTGAGAGAGGCAAGGGAGGATATTGCTGGGGCCTTGAGAGAAATCTTTTGTATCCTCACTGGCTACAGGGGAGGTCCCAGAGGACTGGAGAATAGCCAATGTTGTTCCTTTGTTTAAGAAGGGTGGCAGGAATAATCCAGCTAATTACAGGTCGGTGAGCCTTATGTCAGTGGTTGGAAAATTATTGGAGAAGATTCTTTGAGATAGGATTTACTGTCACTTAGAAATGAGTGAGCGTATTCGCGAGAGGTGACATGTTTTTGTGAAGGTGAGGTCATGTCTTACTATCTTGGTTGAGTTTTTTTGAGGAAGTGACAAAGATGATCGATGAGGGTAGGGCCGTGGATGTTGTCCATATGGACTTGAGGAAGGCCTTTGACAAAGTCCCTCATGGCAGGCTGATATAGAAGGTAAGTTGCATGGGGTCAGAGGTGAGCTTGCAAGATGGATAAAAAAACTGGCTTGGTCACAGAAGATGGAGGGTAGCAGTGGAAGGGTGCATTTCTGAATGGAGGGCTGTGACTAGTGGCGTTCCTCAGGGATCAGTGTTGGGACCTTTACTATTTATGATTTATATAAATGATTTAGAGGAAAATGGAACTGGTTTGATTATTTAGTTGCGGATGACACAAAGGTTGGTAGAATTGCGGATAGCGATGAGGGCCGTCAGAGGATACAGCAGGATATAGATCGGTTGGGGACTTGGGCAGAGAGATGGCAGATGGAGTTTAATCCGGAAAAATGTGACATTATGCATTTTGGAAGGTCTAATCCACATGGAATGTATACAGTAAATGGCAGAACCCTTAAGAGTACTGATAGGCAGATGGATCTAGGTTTACAGGTACACAGGTCACTGATAGTGGCAATGCAGGTGGAGACGGTAGTCAACAAGGCATACGGCATGCTTGCCTTCATCGGCTGGGGCACTGAGTTTAAAAATTGGCAGATAATGTTGCAGCTTTATAGAACCTTAGTTAGGCCTCATTTGGAATATTGTGTTCAATTCTGGTCGCCACACTACCAGAAGGATGTGGTGAGTTTGGAGAGCGTACAGAAAAGATTTACCAGGATGTTGCCTGTTATGGAGGGCATTAGCTATGAGGAGAGGTTGGAGAAACATGGATTCTTCTCGCTGGAACGACAGAGGTTGAGAGGTGACCTGATAGAGGTCTACAAAATTATGAAGGGAACGGACAGAGTGGACAGTCAGAAGCTTTTTCCCAGGGTGGAAGAGTCAGTTACTAGGGGGCATAGGTTTAAGATGCAAGGGGCAAGGTTTAAAGGTGAAGAACGAAGCAAGTTTTTTTTAAACAGGTGGTGGGTGCCTGGAACTCGCTGCCAGGGGAGGTAGTGGCAGCAGTGACGATAGTGACTTTTAAAGGGTGTCTTGAGAAATTACATGAATAGGATGGGAATAGGGGGATATGGGCCCCAGAAGGATAGGGGATTTTAGTTGTGACTGGCAGCATGTCAGTGCAGGCTTGGAGGGCCTGTGTTGTTTTTTTTGTGCTTTGTTCTTGTTCTTTGCTTTCTTGAGGCTTTAAGTGTTTTTTTTAACTGCAGAGGAAAGGACATCCTTTCCAGACATCTGATGACTTCTACCTCATTCAGCTCCACAACCTGGTAAAAAAAAATCATATAGCTGCTGGCAGGCAGAAAGCCTGTTGTTACTGACAACCAATTACCACTTCACAGACCAATCAGCTACTAATCACTGGCTGAATCTCACTTCGTACAAATTCCCTGGTGTCAGTTTGTCTGCAACTGAACCTCCCTCTCTGATTGAACAAAAAACAGTACGCTTATTGGTAAATTATTCACAAAAACCTAGACAAGTAACTAAATTTAAATTAAAAGGAACATAAGTATGCAAATAGAGTGGGAGCTATTATCTTCCCTTTCTCTCACATGGATGAATACAATTTGCTCCGATTTCAAAAACTTGCATCCATGTTCAGCAGGTAATAAGAAGGCAAATGGACTGTTGGCCTTTACTTCAGAAGGAATGGATGATAAAAATAGGGAAGTCTTGCCAAAACCATATAAGGCAGTGGTAAGAGTCAGACCACACTTGGAATACTGTAAATAGTTTTGGTCCCCTTATCCAAGGAAGGCTATACTACCACTGCAGGCAGATGAGAGAAGGTTCACCAAGTCATTTCTAGGTTTGGAAAGATTTCCATCTGAGAAGAAGTTCAGAAGGTTGGGTTATGCTCATTGGAGTTTAAAAGAATGAGAGAAGACGTTATTGGAACATACAAAATTCTTTGGGGCTTGACATGTTAGCTGCAAGAAGGTTGTCTCCCCTTGTGGGACAGTCTAGGACGAGAAGGTGAGATCTCAGAGTGAGGAGTCACCCATTTGAGACAAAAATGCGAAGGAATTTCTTCTCTCAGACGATAGTGAATCTGTGAAGTTCCTTACCAGAGAGTTGTCAAAGCTGGGTTGTTAAGTGTTTCAAGGCTGAGGCAGAGACAGATTTTTAATCAGGAAGGGAATCGAGGACTAGGGAGAGAAGACAGGAAGATGGGGTTGAGGAGTATCAGAATATAATCTCAAATGCTGGAGAAAGCTGGATGGACTGAATGGCTTACTTCTGCTCCTACCTCTTAAAATCTTGTGTTTAATAGCTAAACTACAACGACTATTTAAATAAGAAACAATTGGTAGGAAGGAATGATTACAAAGCAATTTCACTGAGGTTAATTAAAATCAAATGCAATGACAGTACACATCAAATATTTACAATATTAACCTCTATGTTCAAATTAAATTATTAAATTTGTTTCAGATTTTATTAACTGACAGTAGAAATCACAGCACTAGAAATCTGGAACTTATTCGCAAGTGGAAACACTGGCTAATATTCACCTCATTTTTCTTGGTTCAGGTATGCTAAAACACCATTAATACTGCAGAAACCAGGATCTGAATCATGGTAGATTTCCTCTGGTGCCTCTGAGCTCAGTGTTGCTGAAACCATCTCTTAAATGCTTTGCCCTATTTTACAGAAATGAAATATGGATTTTTGATAAGTCAAGCAAAGTACTGCTCTGTGATTTGGTTCAGTAGGCATCTATATGAATTGGTCGTAAATTAAAGATTAGTATCACAAGAATGAAAGAAGAGCTTATAAAAATGTATGCATTTGCCTCAGTTGCTGAAACATGGAATGGACCATCAAAAAGACTGATGGGAAACAATGGAAACGGATCAGTATTTGAAGAAGAAAATAATAGGGTTTTGGGGGGGGGGGGAAGGACAGAAGAAAAGAATCCATTAGGTTAAGAGAAGGTGGAAAAAGCTACAATTTTATTGCCCATCAACAAGTTCCCTAAGAGGATAGAATTTTCATATTGCTTATTGTTGCATCAATTATGAAATTAACTGGAAATTTCAGGACACTACATATAATTCCAAGTCAGGATGATGCCAGATCAAAAGGAACTTTGCAGTGATGTTGATGCTGTGTAGTTGATAGTTGAGGGAGGGAAGCTGGGAGTTACTGTGAAAGGAGGCTTGATGAGTTATGTAGTGCATATTACGGACATTGTTAACCAATGGTGCAAAAACATAAGAACATGAGTTAGCAGTCTGCCATTTTACCCTCACGCCTACTCCACCATTCACTAAGATCAAGGCTGATCTGACTGTGACTTCAACTTCATATTCCTGCCTATGCCTGATAATTAACAGGGGAGTCAAAGTTTAAGAATCTCTCTAACTCTGTTAAAATTTTCAACGACTCTCCCACCACTGCTCTCTGGGGAAGAGAATGCCAAAGACTCATGACCAACATTCCCTCACTCTTTTTTTGCACTGTATCGGTCTCAGAAGTCAGGCTTCCACAAGCCAAAACAAACTTAGAGGGAACATTGCTCATGACCCTCAGAATTTTTAAAAATGGTCTTACATGGACAGCTCTTATTTTTAAACTGTTCTAGTCTCATAAAAGGAAACTACCACTCACTACCCACTGTCAAGTCCATGCAGGATCACCTCTTTATCCTTTTAAATTCCAACGGACACTGGGTCGGACTGTCCAACCTTTCCTCACAAGATAACTTTCCATTCCAAGAACTCCTTCTAAATCCTAAATAACTAAAACAGTACATACAGCACTCCAGATGTGGTCTTCCCTATGCCCTGTACAACTGCAGCAAAACATCCCTACATTTATATTCCATTTCACTTGCAATAAACATAATATGAAGGTGCTGGTGTTGGACCAGGCAGACAAGGTCAAAAGTCACACAACGCCAAGTTATAGTCCAACAGGTTTATTTAAAATCACAAGCATTCGGAGCTGCCCCTTTGTCAGGTGAAGTGCTGAGGGAGAGCTGCCTTGTCAGGGTAGCTGTCACTTCACTTGACAAAGGGGCAGCGCTTCAAAAGCTTGTGAATTCAAACGAATCTGTTGGACTATAACCAGGCGTCATATGACTTTTTGACTTGCAATAATAACACCTCATTTGCTTTTTCAATCACTTGTTTTACCTTCATACTACTTTATGCAAGCCAAAGTAGATACCAAATCCCATTGAGTGCAGTGAAATAAAGTTGGCTGCTCTTGTTGATCCAAGCTTTCAGGGTATTCACAGAGACAACACCATCTAAATGAGTGGAAAGAATCCTATTATATACCCAGCCTGAATCTTTTAGAGAGTGGAGAAGTTTAGAGAAGTCAGGAAATGAACCATGCCTTGCAGGATATACATCCACTATCCTGCTCGTATACTCATAAATGCGACTGCTCTAATTCACAATAGTTACAGATCAAAGAAAGTACATTCACCTTGTCTTAGCTGCGCTGGCTCTCCAAATAAAAAAATGTGCCTAGTTTCCAGTTTCTGCTTTCTCACATTAACCCTGCATGTTACTTCTTCTTAGGTAATAATCTAATAGTCTTTCAAATGCTGTACTCCCTCGGCGCTGACCTTCAGACGGGTGCCCAGCTCCCTCGGCGCTGCGACCGTTCCCGGGCCGCCCCCGGACCCCGATGAGAAAAGGCCAACTTTGAAAGTGAGAAGGCCCAGGTGCCGAGCCGCCCAACTCCCGCGTCCTCACCTTGACTTTCTGTGCCTCGTTAATACACTGCTGGTAGCTGCCGATGTAGAAGCTGTTGCGGACATCGAAGAGCTGGTCCCCATCCCCCTGCTGCATGGCCGCCATCTTCGTGCCCAACGCGCAGGCGCGGCCCACGTGGCGCCGGAAGTCCTCATTCACCTCACTGCGCCTGCTCGGATCCTGTCTCTCTGCCAAACTTTGTCCCAAACTGGTGTGAGCCATTATGATACATTGGAAAATCTAATTTACTACAGATTATTACTATAATAACAATGTAATTTGTTGTTGCTTAAAATGTGTTTTAATTAGGCTGTATAAAATTATAATATTCAATAAAAACTTCTGAATAACAATTGAATTATATATAAAACTAGAATATACAAACTAAATTAATGAAAAATAAATAATTATTTCATATAAAACTACGATAGTTAAATAAGTTGAATTTTTTAAGAAAAATCACAGTTTTAAATGAAAAGGTAAAGTTGCCATGCTTCCTGAACTACCCAGTGATGTAAAAGATTCCCTTATGCATTTTATATTGAATATTAAACTGATTGAATATTAGAGAGTATATAAACATCTAGAATATTAACGTAATGCATTGAGTTATTTTCCAAAATATATATAAACTATTAAATGAATTATAATCATCATTCATGCCTTTGTTGACTTTCAACTCAACTATCCAATGCACTCTGGGCTGGCTCCCATTTTCCACCGTGAACAGAAAATCCTGTTGTTTGTCTCTCAACTTGCAATAAGTTCTACTCCCATCTAACTCTTGTGCTTACTTACTTACCAAAGTGACCAGGAAATTTCACTGACTCCTGGTCAAGCAATATCTCAATTTAAATATTTTTAGCCCTGTCTTCAAATCCTTCTGAAGCCTTAAGCTGCCGACCGTCCTCCTGTCTCTGCACTCTTCTCTGTACCTTCTTCCAGCTGTAAAATATTCTAAGTTGTCTGTACTCTTTTAATTCTAGCTTCTTGAGTATCACCAGTTTTGATCATTGCGCCATCGATGTTCATGCCTTCAAGTTGGATACAGAATTGGCTGTCCAATAGAAGACAGAGGGTGGTCGTAGATGGAAAGTATTCAGCCTTGAGCTCGGTGACCAGTGGTGTTCTGCAGGGATCTGTTCTGGGACCCCTGCTGTTTGTGATCTTTATAAATGATTTTGATGAGGAAGTGGAAGGGTGGGTTAGTAAATTTGCCGATGACACGAAGGTTGGTGGAGTTGTGGATAGTGTGGAGGGCTGTTGTAGGGTGCAATGGGACATTGACAGGACGCAGAGCTGGGCAAAGAAGTGGCAGATGGAATTCAACCCGGAAAAATGTGAAGTGATTCATTTTGGAGGGTCGAATTTGAATGCATAATACAGGGTTAATGGCAGGATTCTTGGCAGTGTGGAGGAACAGAGGGATCCACGTCCATAGATCCCTCAAAGTTGTCACACAAGTCGATAGGGTTGTTAAGAAGGCATACGGTATGTTGGCTTTCATTGGCAGGAGAATTGAGTTTAAGAGCTGCGAGGTTATGCTGCAGCTCTATAAAATCCTGGTTAGACCACACTAGGAATATTGTGTTCAGTCGCCTCATGATAGGAAGGATGTGGAAGCTTTAGAAAGGGTGCAAAGGAGATTTACCAGGATGCTGCCTGGACTGGAGGGCAGGTCTTATGAGGAAAGGTTGAGGGAGCTAGGGCTTTTCTCATTGGAGCGAAGAAGGATGACAGGTGACTTGATACAGGTGTACAAGATGATGAGAGGCATAGATAGAGTGGATACCCAGAGACTTTTTCCAAGGATGGTGATGGCTAGCACGAGGGGACATAGCTTTAAATTGAGGGGTGATAGATGTAGGACAGATGTCAGAGGTAGGTTCTTTACTCAGAGAGTAGTAAGGGCGTGGAATGCCCTGCCTGCAAAAATAGTAGACTCGCCCACTTTAAGGGCATTTAAATGGTCATTGGATAAACATATGGATGATAATGGAACAGTTTAGGTTAGATGGGCTTCAGATTGGTTTCACAGGTCGGCGCAACATCGAGGGCCGAAGGGCCTGTACTGCGCTGTAATGTTCTATGTTCTAAGGGCAGAAATGACTATTACAAGGGGGCTTAATTTTCAGGTGATTGGAGGAAGATATAGGGGAGATGTCAAAGGTAGGCTCTTTACACCTCGAGTCGTGGGTGTGTGGAATGCGCTGCCAGCAGTGGTAGTGGAGTCAGATCCATTAGGGACATTTAAGTGACTCTTGGATAGGCACATGGATGATAGTAAAATGTAGGGTATGCAGGGTAGTTTGATCTTAGAGTAGGATAATAGGTCGGCACAACATCGTGGGCCGAAGAGCCTGTACTGTGCTGTACAGTTCTATGTTCGAAGTGCCAATACCCCAAGGTCTGGTATTCCCTCCCAACACCTCTTTGCCCCTGACCCATTTTGTTCTTTAAGACTTTGAATTAGAGTAAGGCAAATTTTGATCATATGAGACAGGAACTTTCAAAAGTTGATTGAAGTAGACTGTTCGCAAGTTAAGGGACAATTGGCAAGTGGGAAGCTTTTAAAAGTGAGATAATGAGAGGTCAGAGACATTAGTTTCTTGTTAGAGTGAAGGGTAAGGCTGGTAAGATAAGAGAACAATAGATGAATAAAGATATTGAGGCTCCGGTCAAGAATAAGAAGGAGTCAGGTATTAGATATAGACAATTGGGATCAAGTGAATCTCTTGAAGATTATAAGGGAAATCAGGAGGCGCCAGAAGGGGCAATGCATTAGCTTTGGCAGATAAAGTTTAGGATAATCCAAAGAGATTCTACAAGTGCATTAAGAGTAAAAGAGCAACGAGGGAGCAAAAAAAGCCCCTTAAAGATTAATGTTTTTGTCTTTGTGTGGAACCACAAGATTTGGGACAGATACCAAACAAATATTTTACATCAGATTTTACTGTGGAGAAGGAAATGGAAGCTAGAGAACTTGAGGGAGTAAATATTGATGTCTTGAAAACAGTCCACATTGCAGAAGAGGAAGTGCTAGAGGTCTTGAAAAAAGAGAAAGGTGGCTAAATCTCCAGGACCTGATCAAGTGCATCCTAGGATGTTGTGGCAATTTAGGGAAGAAGTTGCAGGGCCCCTAGCAGAGATATTTGTGTCATCTACAGCCACAGGTGAGGTGTCAAAGGACTGGAGGAGTGGCTAATGTTGTGTCTTTAGTAAAGAACGGCAATAGGGAGAAGCCTGGGAGCTATAGACTTGTGAGTCTGATATCAGTGGTGGGTAATTTCTTGGAGGGGATTCTGAGAGATAGGATTTACATGCATTTGGAGAGGCAAGGACTGATTAAGGATAGTCAGCATGACTTTGTGTGAGGGAAATCATGTCTCACAAACTTGATTGAGGTTTTTGAGGACGTAACCAAAAAGACTGATGATGGCAGACCAGTAGACATTGTCTGCATGGACTTTGATAAAGCCTTTGACAAGGTTTCCATGGTAGAGTAATTAGTAAAGTTAGATCACATGGGATTCAGGGAGAGCTTACCAACTGGATACAAAATTGTCTTGATGGTAGGAGACATAGAGTGGTAGTGGAGAGTTGTTTTTTGGACAGGAGGCCTGTGACCAGCAGTGGTCCACATGGATAGGTGCTGGGTCTACTTTTGATTGTCATTTATATAAACAATTTGGATGAGAATTTGGGAGGAATGGCTGGTTAGTTTGCAGATGACACCAAAATTGACGGTATAGTAGACAGTGAAGATTATCTAAGATTACAAAGGGATCTTGGTCAATTGGGTCAATAGGCTGAGGACTGACAGATGCAGTTTAATTTGGATAAATGTGAGATATAACATTTTGGTAAAACAAATAGGGACAAGACAATACAGTTAATGGTAGGGCCTGAGATATTGTTGTTGAACAGAGAGACCAAGGGGTTCAGGTATATAGTTCTTTGAAATTTGCCTCACAGGTAGACAGGGTGGTTAAGAAGTATTTAGCACGTTTGCCTTCGTTGGTCAGACCATTGAGTCTAGGAGTTGGGATGTCACGTGGAGGTTGCACAGGGCATTGGTGAGGTCACTTTTAGCATATTGTGTACAGTTCTGGTCGCCCTGCTACAGGAAGGATATTATTAAATTGGAGAGGGTGGAGAAAAGATTTACAAGGATGTTGCTTGGACTGGAAGGTTTGAGTTATAGGGAGAAGCTGGAATGGCTGGAACTTTTTCCACTGGAGCACAAGAGATTGAGAGGTGGCCTTATAGAGGTTTATAAAATCATGAGGTAGATAAGGTGAAAAGCAAAGGTCTTTTCCTGAGGATGGGGACTTCAAAACTAGTGGACATATTTTTAAGGTGAGAGGAGAAAAATTTAAAAGGGACTTAAGGGGCAACACAGGGAATGGTTCATATGTGGAATGAACTACCAGAGGAAGCGGTAGATGCAGGTACAGTTACAACATTTAAAAGACGTTTGAACAAGTACATGAATAGGAAAGGCTTAAAGGGACCTGGGCCAAATGCAGGGACGTGTGACTAGTTTAATTTGGGAAACTTGATCGGCATGGACTAGAGACATAATCATAGAGTCAGAGTCATACTGCATGGAATCAGACCCTTCGGTCCAACCAGTCCATGCTGACCATAATCCCAAACTAAACTAGTCCCACCTGCCTGTGTTTGGCCCATTTCCCTCCAAACATTTCTTATTAATGTAATTATCTAATTGTCTTTGAAACATTGTAAGTATACCCATATCCACCACTTCCTCTGAAAGTTCATTCCACACAAGAACCACACTCTGCGTAAAAAAAATGCCCCTCGTGTCTTTTTTAAATCTTTATCCTCTCGCCTTAAAAATATGCCCCCTTCTCTTGAAATCCCCCACCCTAGGGAAGAGACTTGCCATTCACCTTATCTATACCCCTCATTGTTTTCTAAACCTCTACAAGGTCACCTCTCAACCTCCTAAGCCCCAGTGACAAAAGTCCCAGCCTATCCAGCCTCTCCTTATAACTCAAAGCCATAATTCCCGGCAACATCCTGGCAAATCTCTTCTGAACCCTCTCAACCTTAATAATATCCTTCCTATAACAGGGAGACCAGAACTGGACACAGTACTTCAGAAGTGGCCTCACCAATATCCTGTACA